AAATTGTTTATTGTGTCAGCTCGCAAGCAACAGTTGACAGCAAAACAAAAACAAAAACAAAAAAAAGAAAAGAGACAAGGAAAACCAACTGAACAACATCAACAACAAAGGGAAAAACAAAATGTTTTCCACTTTGGCCCGAAGTGCAAATCCCCTGACAAAGCTAAAATTTAATTAGCAGCCAGCAAGCGGCGTTTGCAAATGAAATTACACACAAAAAGGAGGCGCCGCTGCGTTGCATGCAACCGATGCCCAAAACAAACGCCCCCAACACATACCCACACGCTCGCATGCCGTTACATACATGCATGTATGTAGGCAGCATTAAAATCCAGCCCCAGCTTCACACAGTGGCTTAACATTTTGCCACTTGGCAGCGCGACGCCCGGACTAAGCGAAATGCGAGAGAGAGAAAAAAGCGAATGGAAATAAAATACAATGACAACACATTCACATGCACACTCGCACACACACACATACGTACATACATGGGTGTAACACGACACGAGCGCCTTGTAACCCCAACAACAACATGTTTTGTACACTGTGAGAAATAGAGAAATGTTCTGCATTCGAATTGGATGAAAATAAGACATAATAAAAAGTTCGACAATTAAATGTGTAAACATGTTAATCCTGTAATAATAAATACGAAAAGATGAATAAAAAATAATAGCACATAGCATAAGTGGTTCTTGACAGTAAATAAAAATCAATTGTCCCTTGGACTGAAGTAAAATATTTATTTTAAGGCCTAAGTGAAATAACTTTCATTTTCATTTGAAGAACTTGCTTCAGACGTGTCCAATAAAGGCACTTATGATTTATTTCTATATTTTCAAAAGTATTATCTGCATTCAAATTAAAGATGAAAAGGAATTTGGAATCGAATTGAGTTGATTTTAAATGAGTGAGTTCATTTGGCATTTGAGAATTGTATTTAAAATATGAATCTGTTGTTAACTTAAGGAAATTATATTTATTTGATTCCATTAATATTCTGGCAAACATATTTAATCATTTTTAAAATATTTTTTTCGAATACGAAATCGATTCGCTCAGTGTAATCCTCGCGAGCTTTACAATAAACACGAAAATATAATTTGCAACATTTCGAGGCAGGCAGCAGGCGACGCGTTTCCGCAGCCACGTTGCAAGGTAGCAGGGGGGGAGCAGGGGACTGAAACGGGGCTGGTGGACAGGAATGCTGTTGTAACCGAAGTTAGTATAAGCCCGAGATGGGGCTTTTGGCTATGGCTATGGCTATGGCTATGGCTGCAAGTAACACTAATTACCTGGAACTAAATATGGCGCCGGATTTGGTGGCGGCAGCCAATACGTTGCCGTTATCGCCGGATACGACTGATGGCCATTTGTGGCCATGTTTGTGGGCTGCTGCGGGGGTGGCGAGTGCGGCGACATGCCGGAGCCACACAATTTGTTGTTGCTGTTGCTGCTGTTGCTGTTGCTATTGGGCTGGGCTGTTGCACATGTTGTTAGCGCTGTTTTGGCCGACAGAGGGCGCAGCTGCAGCTCACTAACATTGCCATTTCCGTTTCCGTTGATATTGGACGCTGAGAGGTTGCTGCTGCTGTTGTTGTTGTTGTTGTTGTTACTCTTGGTATTGTTGTTGTTGTTGTTGTTGGTGTTATTGTTTAAGCCATTGCTGCATTCCATGATATTTGTATTTGGATTTTTCATATTTATGGGCCGCTAGATGGCGCCGCACTCAAATACACTTACACACACACACCCACGGCGAGGGCAACTTGTTTTTATGAGCCTCTTGGGCTATATTAAAATGCACTGCTCTATTATATTGAAATTTATTTATATATTTGCATGTAATTTAAATGAACATGTTTTTCTCTACAATTAAAAAGTTCAACAAAAAATACCACAATTATTCACTGGTGTATAATTTGAGTTTCATTTGAAACAAACCAAACAAAAAACGGTCTATTCCATTTAGGTTTGGTTTTGTTTTTTTGTTTTTTTTTTTCAAATTTTTTTAATACGCAGCGCGTGCTGCAGCCTTATTATAATCATCATTATTATTATGGCCGCTTGCTGTCTTTGTCACACACTCAAGCAACCATATATATACATATATTGTTTTTTATTTTATGGTTTGCCATTTTTGTATAACCAATTAATTTGCCATATTGCACCGTTTGCTTTTGTAATATTGTATTTTATTTTTTTTTCTGCTCTTTCTTGACGATTGTTGTTATTTTTATTTATTTTGTTATTTGTTATTTACTTTCAATTTGCTGCATATCATCGCATCATATCGAGCGTTAATGTGCCAGCCATGTCATATGCCTGCATATAAACACACGCACACACACACACAGACACAATATTTGCTAGTGTTATTAAGCTTATTATGGCGATCACATAGCGTAGTTATTTGATTTTGCACTTAATGCCAGTTAGGATTCAGGTAATGAAATGATTTTCAGTCGCCCTTTCGCCGCAACAATTTTTATGTGCACTTTTTTCGTGCTGTTGCAATTCTCAAAATAGCAAAGCAGCTCATAAAATTTCAAATACGAAATTGAATATAAAAACCTATTTAACGAAACGCAGCGGCTGGGCAAATTGAACTTAACGGACCAAAGCGAATTTCACAAATGTCACAATTTAACCAGAGGCCACGCCTATTACCGAACTCACTCTATCTCTCTCTCGCGCTCTCTCTCTTTATACTATTGCTTTGTGACACCTGTCTGAAACTCTAATCAGCTTCAAATATAGCTGCTAAAAAATAAACGTCTGTGTTTATATAACACAGGCCTCGTTTATATGTACCCACGCTGATGGGGGCGCCGTTGGCCAAGGGGCGTGTCTACGGAACCTGAAACCTAAACTAAACAACTGTCGACATAACACAAAAAATGACTTGTGAAATTTTAAGCTTATTTATTTACAACAACAACAATGGACAACTATAACAAGTGAAGCCTCAGTTGATTTATTACCATGTGAAATTCTGCTTTAAGAAAAGAAAGCTGAATCGAACATAATATGCGATTTTAACAGTTCATAAAATTCAGCTTAGCAATAATATTTATTCTTCAGAATATAAAAGCTACGCTCAAAAATATTTATTGTTTAGGGGATTTTTTTACTCCATTTATTTGTTTAGCTTATTTGATGTCGATGTTGAGTGGAAGAATTTGTAAAGAATAATATATTTTTGAGAAATCAAATATGTGAGAATTTTTCAAATTAATAATGTAAATTCCACAAATAAAAAAGGGTATAAAAATCGTCAGTGGAAATTAGATTTTGAAAAAAAATAATTAACTTGGAAAATACATTGTAAGACCAAAAATTGAAATTATAAGAAATATGGGAATTTCATATGCAGATCTCAGCATTACCAAATCTTGAACTTCAACTCTTTCCTCAGCCTTCTCTTACTCCATGGGCAACATCTGACATACTCGATGGTCACATAAGGTTAATCAACCCAAAAGACTTTCATCAGAGTTCCCTAAAACCTCAAACATATCGAACTGTTCCGTTGACAATCGACTGTTATTGTTTGTCTTAAAAATAGCTAGATGCGTTCATTTCGATTTGCTTGTGGAAAATGAAACAAAGTATATTTTCATGTCAACTATATTTTCTATTGATTTTCGCTTCTCTTCTCGAGACTTTCCACAACTTGTCGAGCTTGTCTATTTTGAATTTCTGGCGGCCCAGCTAAATTGACGTTTGCCTGCCTGTCTATTGACAGACTGCTCTTGCTCTTTCTCTACATACATATATTGTTGTTGCTATTGTTGTTGTTGCTGCTGATGGACTATGTTGTTTGTACTTGGTCAACATGTAGACATAAATATGCGTAAATATACGAAACTTATATGCTTACATATATGCATGGATATGTATGTGTACAGGTACTATATAGCATGGAGCACTGAGAAGAAAGCACAAATATTGATGGAAATATTTGACAACTTTTGTGGCCTGAACCTTGTTAGATGCTAAGTTCATTGCGACACAACGTTGCAACATGCAAATGCAATTGAATTGCTGCTGCTGCTGCTGCTGCTACTGCAATCATGCACATTTATAATGGCATATAATGTGTGGCACATTGCAACACTGCTGCCAATCGACTGGTCTGTAATCATGTTTTTATTGTTTTGTTTTTCTTTTCATTATTTGTTACGCTTCGCTGCCGACTACCAATTTGTCAACTCGGTCAACACATGCGGCTCTAATTCCTAGTAACTTATTTTTTTTCTGCTGGCAATTGCTTGATTGCAACTAGAACTGATTAGCCCAATTAGTTAAGAACTTTGACCTTAACTAGCCCCATGTGGATATCATATGTGCTTAGCGCTCTTTGTACTCCATCTTGACTTTTGCTATCTGCTTAGCTAGATATTTTTCGCTTCATGCAGCGCATTTGAATGAGCACCACAATTATCGCATAAACTTCATAAACTTCACATTTACACTCTGAACCTTTTGGCTCATGTGCGGGTATCTGAAAGTTTTTAGAGCGTAAAGCAACGCATTTTCATTTTAAACTGACGTCTCTGAAGCATGTTAAAAATAATAATAATAATAATAAAGAAATAGATTACGATGGCAATCTAATTTAATGTATAGAGCCACAGTTGTCGCGTAAAGAGAGAGAGAGAGAGTGTGTGTGACAGAGAGGGTCAAAGAGAGAGAGAGAGAGAGAGAGAGAGAGAGAGTCTTGAAAATAAGATATGTGATATATGCATAAGTATATGAATGATAAATATTTAAATTATGGCGTATATATATATATGACCTATTCATATATCTATTATATTATTCAAGCAGATTAGTTAGGCAAATATTCTTCAAGTATAACTATTATTGTACAATAAAATTGTAATAATCAATCATAACTAAGCGATATATTACATATATATAAGAATAGTATAAAAGTATTCTATATATAGAAGTCAGTTTACTAGACAACAAGACCAAATATGAAGCTGATAACCTTGCAGATAGAAGTACTTGAAGAGATTCTAGTAAATGATATTTGGCTAATGAAATTGTTATTTATAAATATACATTAAAGGCGTGCATATCTTTTTAATCCCAATTTACTATATATATATATTTTATATCTTCTCTATCTATAGTTTGGCCAACTCTTCTTTCCTATATAAATATGTATTTTTTTTAAATACTATTAAAAGAGAAAAAGAAATATTTCTTGCTTGCTTTTTGCAGTGTTTTCAGCCAAATATTTGATGCCCTTAATTCTGCTTAAAGTGCACTGTCATAGCTGTTCATGTATGTTGGGATATACATAGATATGCTAGGAACATACATATATGCATATATATGTATATATATAGCATGTTTATAAGTATTTGTTTTTGGGTTGACGAGCTGTTGACATTTTGTATTTAATATGCCGCACACCTTTGTTGTAGTTGTTCTTGTTGCTGCCGTTTGAGAATTGACAACTGACAATTTCCGTTTGTTGCCGGGCAATACGCACTTGTTCCCCTCCCGGGCCACGACGTCAACTAACCCAACTGATTATTTTCAATTGGAATTTACTTTGCTTACGGCCAAGTGATTCATTTTCATGCTGACGCCAAGAAATCCATTACGTGATGTATTTATTTTTCTCCTCTCTCTCTCTTTCTTTCTCTTTCGCTTGCTCTTTGAGTTTGTGAACTATATATGCTTAAGAAAACATATATATATGTAGAAGACTGAGCGCTATTGCGTGGTTTATATCTATATGTTTTCAATTTAATGACACTTGTGCTAGTTGTTTGCCTGCGGCATCTTTTAATATTTGCACAAATGCGGCATTCGAGGCAGAGTCAACAAATTTTCTCCTATTGTACTCAAGTACATAGATATGAATATGTATGTACATATATATGGATATATGCAAAGGGTGCAGCTGACCTTGAGCTAGACTTTACGCACGTACGCTCAGGTACCAGATCGAACTCTCAGATCGTGAAGATGCCAGCACATCTGAAACCATTTATGATGACAGTGGTTTATCTATGTGTGAGGGTGTGGGTGTGTGTGTGTGAGTGTTTGGGGCACACCTCGAACAAACTGAAGCATTCAAGCGTTACGCCAACTGTATCGGAAATCGGTTTAACTTTTATACAATAATGTGGCATATATATATGTTTATATCTACACGGAGACAGCGAGAACTAGTGTTTGTATAGTTGGCTGGCTATTGTTCAGTGTAACGAATCAGCTGTTGTTGTGTCTGTATAGCAAATTTATGTAAATACATTCGACACGTTTCCCAATGCACATTCAGTTCAAGTAAATAGGGTTTATCAGCGGCTACAGTAATGGCTGCCTATGTGCTTGAATTCACCAAAAGTCCACTTTATATGCGCGAGGAGTTCAGCTTCAGTGTTAACTGCCTAAAACGGGTGGAAAAGTGGGAGTAACTACAAATAAGCGGCTGATACAGTGGTAACTGCTTACGTAAGCTGCAGTCAAAGTCGATTTAATAGAATTTTAAAAGCCAGCGAACGAATGATTTATGACAAGGGCGGGCATAGTACAGTGTTCACTGTGTGCAATAAGCTAAAAGTAAATAATTTTTGAAGTACAATAATGGACAGTAATTACTGCGTATGAGACACTAGACTTAGAGGCATATCTCGATGTTACAGCTTCACTGTAGTTCACGGTAACTATTCATATATAAAACTAATGAGCACGTGCTAATCGGGCTTCACTGTATATCTTGATGTTCCCACTTCCATTTAGAGCAACATTTATATTACAGCAAAGGGATGGCTAGACTAGAAGTCTATAGACAAGCTTCACTGTTCTTTAGAACTGCAGTTCCACACATTTATTTAGAGCAACAACAACGACAACTGGCTGCATGGCTGATATTGCAATTCAATTGGTTAACAAATTGTATCTTTCAGATACGTAGATACGTAGAGATAGATACATTTTGACACTCTCCGTTGAGGCAGACGCGCGTGCGCAACTTGAGGCGAACTGCAGCCGCAGCTTGAGCTATCTGCAAATGTATCTATGAGATACAGATATGCTGTGCAGCATTCTATGCCGAACACCGAACACCGAAGACCGACGGCCGAAGAAACGTAAACGAAAACGAAAAGCGCAAAGCGAAAAACAAAGAAAAACGCGACTGATTGCTGGGCGATTGAGTGACAAACTGCTTGCGTCGCTTATTTTGTCGCTGCTGTTTTGCGCTGTCGTGCGGTTTATTTTACTTTACTTGATTTTTTTCCACATTTTTATTTATTTATTTATTTTGTAGGTTTTTTTTTGTTTCTTTAGCTTTTTTGTTTTGTCTCAGTCGTAGTTGTAGCACATGCGAGTATGTGTGTGTGTGTGTGTGTACTTTAGCCATTGTGTACTCAGTTCACGATGTGCCCAACCGCATGGCGAGGCAGTCGAATACGAATACGAATACGAAATTATCATTATTATCGTTGCCTTTTAGTTTTTGGCATTTTTCGTTTCAGTTAAATGGCATTTGCGACTAAATGAAAAACCCAAACACACACACACAACCCAGAAATCACACCAAACAAACAGATAAACACACACACACACACTCTAAATGCCAATCCAATTTAATTTTGCAATACTCTAGAGATAAAATACTCAACTATTAATAAAAACTAAATGAAATCGATCTAAAATTATATTTCAATTGAATAAATGTTTAGTTGATCAAAATTATAAATATATACATATCCATATATCTGCATATTAATAACTATTTCTTGCACAAAGATTTAACTTTGCGAAATTTTCCATGAATTTTCTAAAACAATTTTCGTTTATTTGTTTTGTTCCATGTGGATAAATAGTTTTATTTCCATGTAGTTTAAGCGACGTGACATAGCTTTCAATTTCAGTTTAATGCCCGCCTTGTCGTCAAGTGTATCTAAGCCATAAATTGGGGGACTCATCAAGTGACGCGTGCTAAGCAGCGCTGATCATAGCCGCCACCTGATCACGAGTATCTCATAGATACACACAAACACACAGGCAAGCATACACAGAGTGTAGCTTCGAGTAATTTTTGTTATACTACGGCTGATGGTGGAAATTGTTAAAAGAGTGGGTATTTCGGTTTTCTGGAAATTCGAATGATTCTATTATGTAGAGATATATATTCTGCCATCTACATTCTAGATGCTTTAGAGACTAGAGAATTTTAATAGTAGTTTCATTACTCAAACCATCTCTGGTCTTTCACTTCTTAACAATTGTGCTCTTATAGATTGTCTGTAATCTCATTTCCACACTTAACTTCAGTACCCTTTACAGGGTATCTGCTACTCTATCAGCGCCGTCTACAGAACATTGGCGTGCTTTTGTTTCGGAGTTTTGCGTTTGCCAATGCATTTGCATTGACTCTACTAAACTGATAAAAATCAGCCATATATATTATATAATATACGCTTTATGTATATATTCATATATATCTAAGTTGGCTTATATACTTGTGCCGGGACTACCTGACTTTGGATGTTGGCATTGCGAACGCCGGTCTCTGGTCTCGCACATTATGTTTGTTTATTTATTATTGTTTCGCGTTTCAGAGCCGGCGACAGTTGTTTAATTTATCAGTTAACAGCTTTGTGGCTTTGCAGTCATACGCTAAAAGCTTCAGTTGCTTCCACTCTCGATCGTATTTCAGCGGATTTATTTATTTTTTTTTTTGCTGTTTTCTGTATGTGAGCTTAAAAAAAAAACTGAGCCCAATTGTGAGTACCTTAAAAGTAGTCTTTGCCCTTATCGCTGGAATTAGAAACGACAGAAAAAGACCCGAAAGGAAATACTAGAAGCGTCTAAGACCGTAGTGAGAGACCAGCTGTGGTTGTGGCTGTGTCTGGGGCTGTGGCTGTGGCGGTGGCTGCGGCTGTGGTTGAGGTTCAGGTTTTGGGTACGCTCGCAGCGCTTATCTCGACAAGAAATTTAATTAAAATAAAACCATATGCCGCAATTGAAACGCCCCCTAATTACCAGGGACGCCTCAACGATAGACGCAGATACACAAACACATATAGATACAGATACAGATACATGGGCTATGGGCTACTGGGGATAAAAATGCAAACAGACGCCCGCAACAAAGCACTTGAAAAGGCTGAGAAAGGGAGGGGGTGCTGGCGAGAAGGGGGTGTGGAACACAAAAAAAAAAAATAAATAATAATAATATGCGGCATATTGAAACAGACGCAAAACCATTTTCGATAATTGAAAATAATAATTAAAATTCTCTGATTGAGGCGCATTCGCTTTTTGTTGTGCATCACAACAACTGACGTCCACAATTGGAGTGAAAGAAGCTATAAAAAGCAACAACAGCAATAACAACAACAACAATCGACAACAATCGACTTGCAGCTAACATACACAACAATTTGTTATTCAATGTTGAGTTTCAGGAAATGGGGTATATCGCAGTTGATAGACTCTGAACTTGGTAACTCAGACAGTTCTTAGCTCGAATTTCGTTAAACCTCAATTTGTTTACATTATATTACAGTCGATAGTTTAAGCAGCTGTCTATGCAGATCTAGTTCCAGGAATACTGGTTGCAAAGCATTCATTAGAATAATTGAAATTGATCAATATAGATTATTATTATTTGGAAATTGGGAAAAATCTAGAAATGTGTCTGATCTCTTATTTACAAAATATTTATAAATTGTACAGCAATAAGAGTTAATATTCCTCTTATTATATAATCTATTATTTATTTTTATTTTTTATTATTATTTTTTTTTATTACATTACTATAATGTATGCATCATAGTGTGGCACTTCTATCTCAGATCTCAAATATAAGTATTTTAAAACTTTTATATATTTTCTGCGACGCTTCTGAGTGCCAAATTTCTTGTCAGATCTCAAATTTGACATAAATCAAACCGAAAAATATTATTTTAAAATCTGTTATGTTATTACATACCCATAAATTAAAATTAATTTAAAAATGAGCAAAAATTAAAAAAAGAGTATATATATATATATATGTTTTAATCAATTTGCCATTTAACTAAAATCCTAGCAACCTCAAACGAAGAGCTGCTTACAGGGTAGCTGCAATGCTAGCAAGCTTGTCTCAAGCTCCCATTTTTCTCCACATTTTAATATGCAAAACTTGTCGCCTGCCTGGAGAATTGTATTGCTGTTGTTGCTGCTTCTTCTTTCAGTCAGTTTTTTCTTTGGTTTTTCCAATTCTTTTTGCTTTCGTCTCTTTGTCTTTTGTAGAGGCAAAGCCCGTTAGCCGTATTTGTGTCTTGTGTCCAGGCCATAGAAGTCATCGTTATGGTGTCCCCCAAGTGCGCCTGGCTTTGTTCAGTCTCCACCCCAGCCCAACCTCTGCCACCGCCTCTGGCTCTGCCTAGCTCCCGCTCGTTGGTTTTTTAGAATTTATGAGCGTTCTGCATTTGGGATTCCAAGTGCGTGATTTCTTCAATTAAATGCCCCAAAGTCTTTGGCTCTCATTGCAAGCAGCCGGCGGCAGTCCGAGTCGCAGCACTTGTTGAATGGCATTGCACAATCATGTGGCAATGTCTTTGACTCTGCGCAGCCCTTCCCCCCAGCGGCCCCCTTTAGAAAATGATGTATGTTAAGCATGCTCGTTTGTGGAGGGCGACAGTTCACAGCATTGTCTGCGCCATTCTAAGACTCTTTTGGACAATACTTGTGGTTCAAGCATAGCATTCAGCATAATTCTCAAACAATGACAATAGTTCAGTCAATAGCATAGCTGTGAATGCCAGAGAATATAATAGAATAGAATGGCATTCAGTTGTTTGCAATTATGGTTAAGAAATTACTTTGCCAACTTGTGCAATAACAAATTATTCACAATTGAAGTTGAAGTTGAAGTTGGGCAAGTAAAACGGAAATGGGAAAATTTGACTAATTACTCAAAGAGAATTCTCCTATCAGTATTTAGATTTAGGCTTAGGCAGGAAAGAGCACTCAATAACTTGGGCACTTAACGACACAAGAGACGGGAAACGCTAGCAGATAAAAAAGTATTTAAAAACTATTTGAAAGGTTTTCTATTATTATAGGTGAACGTTGATATATAATAAACTTCTCAATGTGTATTGTTCCTATATACTTCTACGCTTGTGAACTTTTCTCAACTTGTTGTCAGTTAAGAGACTTCATGTTCCAATAAATGTAATTTCTAGAGCTTTGTGTTTCAGTTTTGTCTTCAAGCGATATTTCATTAGCTTTTGCTACGCACGGCAATTATGCGCATATTTCAATATAGGCGCAGCTCAAGCGTGCTGCATGTGAGTGTGTGTGTGTGTGTCTTGTGCCACATGACAAACTGCAGCTGCAACAAGGCGAAAACGCACTTGCAACACGCAATGCAGCGTTAAAAAACAATTTCTCCATTTGGTGGCATTCCACAGATGCTTTTAGCAATGGCTCGATGCGGGCCACGCAAGCGCAACTAGAATCACACATAGACACAGATACATAT